TACAACCAAAGACTATCAGATGGAATTAAATGATTTCACTGATGTGAAATAACTCTACATAAGTGAACGTGGCATAATATGCAGAGCTGAAGCCTCCTTTGAGATGCATCAAGAATGACAAAATATTCACCCCCAGCATGCCTCAAGAGCTCGTTTTTATTTTTCTATGGGGTAAATGGACATGCTGAGTTGTATTAAAGTCAGCTGTGCTTTCACATAAATCTTACCATCCACTTTCACAGGAAAAAACACACAAGATCTCCCCCTTCCTATTGAATCACTCCAAAACAAATATAAGTTTGAACTCAAATACAGCATTTAGTTACAGAGTGGCAAGTAAGTAAACACATGATCAGTTCATACATATGACTGTGGCCACCAGCTTTGTTAGCTGTCCAGCCTTCATCTTTTAATCCCCAGAAACCATATTACCACCTCTTAAAGATAAGTTAAACTTCCTTCTGTGACTTTCTTTATTTCCTCTGTCTCCTTTTGACTTTCTACTTGCAAACTTGAAAGATCATAGTGGCAGCAGTGACGGGCAGCAGGGGGGGTGGCGGGGGGGTTCTAGAGCAAGGGGAGCCAGTGAGACTGTGTGGATAGAGACGGATTGATTTCCTCCTCCTCGAGCTCCAGTTCAAAGCAAAGCAACCCAGCAGACTTCAGAAGCGCAGCAGGACCTGACATGTCCCCCAGCCGGCTTGAGCTGCCTGTCTGCGGGCAGGACTTCCCCCGGGGGGCTCCGGGGCCCGGGACAGTCAGGCGGCACCAAAAAAACAATTATGCAGAAAGCGCACAAAGCTGTGCAAAATTCACAAGGACACATTTTTAAATATTCGTTAATTAAAAGAAATCTCACAGCCTCAAACAAAAATGTATAACAATAAAAAATAACCTAACAAACCAAGAAACAGATAGCATCTAGCTCTATGTTCTCAATCCTAAATCACAGCCTTGTCACAAAGTCAATGAGGCCTATAAACTATAGAAATAGTGATGTGAAAATTATTCTATCTCCTTGGGCTAAAACTTTTGTACCAACATGCACTCTTCACATACTTTAGAAGTGTTTAGGATGATTGCTTCATACTCAAATAATCACATTCAAATGTTATTTAGAGATGACATTTGTGCAGAAAGAAAAAATAAATAAAAAAAGCAAGTAATGTCAGCATAGCCTTTAAACAAAGTCCTTTTTTTTATTATTTCTAAACAGACATAACCTTTAGGTAAATAAACCAGGAGCTATTTTAGGTCTTGGCAGATCAATATTCTCAATGACTTCTAACTTTTCTGCTTTAACATATGAATTGGATTTCTATGAGGTCATCTTACAGTAACGCACATGTTTATCTGGCATTAAGAAGTGTTGCTCAGGAATTTCCCCCAAGTCTTGCAGCAATCTGTCCGTGCATTCCTCAGAGTGAAGTTCTTACCTGGATCCTCCTGGCTGTCGGTGCAATGCTGCGGTCTCCCTGCTGCTCTGCGCAATCAGCGGACTTGGTGATCGGAGTTCAATCCCCTGCGTGGCGTCGGGTGAGCATCGCCCACGGACTGGCTGTGATCAGGGGAGTCTGAAGGCAAGTTCTCAGCCTCCACTGTGGTGCATGTCGGCCTGTCTCCAGGCTCCTCCTTGGTGAGTAAAAAGATTTGTTTTCTCCGCCCTGAAAGAGAAACGGATTAACGTGTGCCAGGTAGACTGTCAATTAACAGGCTGCAGGTTATGACTCGACTCTGCCATCTAGCGTTCATTTGGATGAACTTTTTTTGTTTGTTTTTTTTGTTAAGGGATAAAATCCCATTTTCTGCCTCCTTTTAAAAATGTTTTAAACGTGACTGAAGTGGACTAATTTCTACTTGCACGTTTGAAAGATTTTCCTAGAATTTACAGAAAGAAGTTACTAAACCCGCAGCTCAGGTGCATCTCAGTCTAAAAATTACATAACAATTATAATGCAAGTTTTCCTTGAAGTAGGCAATGTGGAAAAACAAGAACAATTTCTATTTTACTGATTCCATATATTTTTACTCTGAACATAGTTGTTGTTACTATGTTATTACTGGAATATGAAAGGAATTTCATCATCAAATTGCTTTAATTTGTCCCACTGAACAGATCCACTAACATAGACTTGATGAAGCATAGCATAGTTCATCCATTAACACTTCCCCCTTGCAAATAAAAGGGTCTATGCACAACTATTAAAATGTTTTATTTCATTTCATACTGTTGTTATTGTGTATTTTTAATATGAAATCTGCCATGTTGCTTTTATTGTTTCACTATTTTCCTTCTATTCCCATAATGTATTTATGATACAAAATAAACTGATTTATTCCATATTATATATATTATATGTTATACATGTTTGTCTCTGTGCAGAACCTTTATGCCAAAGCAAAAACCTCACATGTGTAAAACACTATGTGGCAATAAAGCTTTTACTGATTATGAAAAGTTAATCTATTTTTAAATATTATCCTCCTTCAAGGTAAGACAAAAACAGCCATTATGGCGACTGAAGGGATAGAGGAACTTGGAGATACAAAAAAATTTTTTCACCCCGAATCTGTTCCACATGAAACATACCATCACTTGAAGAAAAGTAAGAATCCTCTAACATGTTAAATACAGCTAAATGCTATAATTAAAACATTATTGAAATTTAAACATAGTTTTTACCTGCATAAAAACAACTACATATAAAAACCGATAAAGTATTTAGAGTTTAGGCTAAAAATTAAAGCTAAATAAATATGAAGCAATATCTTCAGCAACAGCACTACATTTATTATCATTATTATTAACCAAGAGGAAGGCTTCAGGTCAGAGATTAAACAAGATAGAAATGTTAAAATAACAAGCCACTGTAACTGATCCTGAACATTAATTTAACATGTCCGGATCATGTAGGGTTCCACAGTATAATCATAAAGTATAGTATCCCAAAATGGAAAACGGCTACAACCAAAGACTATCAGATGGAATTAAATGATTTCACTGATCTGAAATAACTTTACTTCCATAAGTGAACGTGGCATAATATGTAGAGCTGAAGCCTCCTTTGAGATGCATCAAGAATTACAAAATATTCAACCCCAGCATGCCTCAAGAGCTCATTTTTATTTTTCTATGGGGTAAATGGATATGCTGAGCTGGATTAAAGTCAGCTGTGATTCCACATACATCTTACCATCCACTGTCACAGGAAAAAACACACAAGATCTCCCCCTTCCTATTGAATCACTCCAAAACAAATATAACTTTGAACTCAAATACAGCGATTCTGGACGGACACAAGCTAATGACGTAACTCTTTATACATACTAAAAGAAACTAGCTTTCTTTTTTCTTTCTTTTTTGTTTGTTTGTTGTACATCTTCATAAAAAAATAATATCTTGTAAAACATAATATCATCAACATAGATTCCAGCAGACTTGTTTTTTATGAAAAAACAGAAGTCATCAATAGCAGATTTTAACAGCAAAAACAGGTAAATCTGCCCTTTAATATTAAAACACACTATATTTTTACAGGTGCTTGAACAGTGGGTAGCACTGCTGCCTTGCAACAACACGGTTCTGGGTTCAATTCTTGGCCAGGGCCTGTTTCTGCATGGAGTTTGCATGTTCTCCCTGAGCATGCCTGGCTTCTCTCCGGGTACTCCAGCATCCTCCCACAGTCCAGAAACATGACTGATTTGAAACAGTGAAATTCTCCTTAGGTATGAATGGTTGTTTGTACTGTTTGTCTCTGTGTTGCCCTGCGACCAGGATGTACCCTGCCTCTTGCTCGTAGACAGCTGGAGATAGGCACCAGCACCCCTCGCTACACCGCTGGGGATTAGCATGATGGAAAATGGGTGGATAACATCGTTTCTATAGTTTTTTGGGGGGGGGGTCTCCAAAAAGGGTATGCTTATTGTTAAAAACCAATTACTGATTGTAATTTAAGAGCCATTAAGAATGCAGTTCAGTCCAAGTTACTTTATTTGCCTCCACCAGTAATGTTAGATCCTGAGTTTATTACTGTTTATACTCAGCAGACCATGACAGAAAACAAACGGCACCCCAGCTGTGTGTCACAAGATAAACAATAATCACAACATTTCTCATGCATTATCACCATTTAAGTGCTTTGCATGAATCGCCTTCCCATACACTTAAAGACTCACCTTCAGATGATGAATGTCTTTGAAACAGAAGGCGTCAATTAGTCTGACAGAGACTTTGATGTTGCCGGCGGGTGCCTGGTGTCTGAATCGGACTAAAGCTTGGACTTTAGTCTACCTCCTCCTCCTCTCCCTTCACACCACTTCCCCTTTTCTCATCCACAGGAAGAATTAGATAAAAGAGGGGCTTTGAAAAGACTGGGAGTCCTGTAATTACTTACTCTCGCGCTCTCTCGCTCTGTCCCCTTCTTCTTTTACTCTAACTATTTGTTGTTATATTTTTTTTTTTTTTTTCATTTCTTAAACACTTCTGTTTTTTCCTTCAATCTCCCAGTCTCATTTTTAATCAGGTCCTCATTCTCCGCCCCTCTCCTCTTTTCAGTCTTCTCTCTACTTCTTCCTTTTCCCCCTCCTGTCGAGACCCATTGAAGTCAACCCAGGGCTTCCTGACTAAAGAGGAGGATGAGAGGAGACAAGACAGGATAAAAAGAGAGGATGAGCAGAGAATAAAACAGGAGATGAGTTCCTCTTAAGGAATGTCAGAAGCAAAAACACCTTTATTGGGCTTTGCAAATGATTGTAAAATAAAGTGTTTGTAGACAAAGTTAAAGAACATTCACAATAAACAACTAAACAGATATAATATAAGACTTTTTAGTGGTTTTTGATGGTCTACTGCTGCCTCTATTCTGCACTGACCAATAGAAAAACTACACTGCTTTGTAAAAGTAGACTGATACGTCAGACAATATTTTTGGCTGATATTTTAATTCTTTTTGTTGTGTCGTTATGGCCCAATATGTGCATGTGTTCATCTGTTCCTATGTGCATTCAGCAGCCATGCTTCGAGATCATGTGAAGAGCCGCTCGCTCTATCTGCTATCCATTGTTAGTGTTTTGTTTGATTTCTTGATGACTGATTATTTTTGTTAAACGTTAGACTTCTGCAACATTTGGTATCATTTTGTCATAAAATATATATATATTTTTAATTAGTTAGATGCAATAATCTGGTTTTCCTTAAATAGAACCAATTTGAACCAATCAGACTGTCTGATGTGGTTGAACTGTCTCTGTAAAAGGCGTTGAGATGACATGTTGTCATTTAGAGCAATGTAAATAAATTTTATTGAATTGCAGGAAGAGAAATTAATGGCGGCCCGAAAAATCTTCCCCAGAAGATTGGCAGCCTATACAGGGGATCAGCTCTACTAATATCAAAATAAACTGTGTCAGCATCTGCTTTAAAATACCTTTATCAGGTGATCTTTACTCACTGGTATTAGCATTTATGACCTTTTTGCTTTTTAACAAATTTTTATTTTGAACCAGAAACATTACTGATGCTTTTTTCAAATTTCTGCTCACGGTTTTAAAATGGATGGAAATGGATGCAAGGTTTTAAACTGATACAGTAACACCAAAAAGATTAAAAAGGTGTTGCATAAATTTGTATTGTGCTCCTTGATCCTATAATTTCCACCTTTGGCTTAGATTAGAGCTGCAGACCTTCTGGGTATGTCACAACAAGCTTTGCACATCATGTTTGCAGTTTTTCTTTGCCCAAAAGGCTTACCTCGTATTTCCAAGTGAAATTACATATAGACTTGATTTGACCTTTTAACATGTGGATATGAATTGATTTTAAACACAGCTGTGCATGAATTCAAAAGTGCTTTGTGATATAATCAGAGTTTGAGATTTTTATAATCCGCCGCTGCTTTCCTTGGTTCTTATAATGCTTTTTGTACTCAAATTTTCCCTGAAATCACTGATGTCTTCATGTAGAAAACCTGAATTAATAATAAGTTAGATTAAATACAGAAGAATAATAAGTTAGATTAAATACAGAATAAAGAAGAAGAACTGGACAACTGGACTTCTTAATTATTTGCAGAGGATTTTATCTAGATTAGTTTAAAAAGTCACATCACCTTTCCCAATTTTATCTGCATTTTGAAAATTTGTAAAACCTGGTTTCCCATTTCTTCACCACCTCACAACTATTAGCCAAATTTTGTTGATCTCTCATGTAAAATCACAATTAAATGCCTTGAAATTTGTGGCTGTAACAAAAGAAACAGTGGAATGCTATTAACACTTCTGTAAAGCACCAATAACAATGGAGAATACTTTTCAAAAGCTGGCCCTTGTTTTCCCAGGTACTTCACAGATAGGAATTAAACTTTCTTTTTTTAAATGACAGTGTGTAAAAGGTTGTGAATAAAAATTATTCCATAGACTTTAACAATTTTTATGTGGTTTTATGGCCGACCCAAGATTCAATGGGGCCCTATTGTCAGAATTTGATATTGGGGCCCTTTACTTCTACCAATATTATCTGATTGCCCAATCAACAGTTAGATGATAAGATCATTCACACATATTCTATAAACTCATTAGAGCTCTGGTAGTGCTATCTACAGTATTTAAAAAAAAATAGTACACAGTTTATCTACATTATAAGGGTCAT